TTGAGACCAGCCTGGAGAACATGGTGAAACCCCACCTCTACTAAAGATACAAAAAATTAGCTGGGCATGGTGGTGGGTATCATTAATCCCAGTTGCTTGGAGGCTGAGGCAGGAGGATCTCTTGAAGCCGGGAGGCGGAGGTTGCAGTGAGGTGAGATTGCACCATTGCACACCAGCCTGGACAACAAGAGGGAAACTCTGTCTAAAAAAAAAACAAAAAAGGCCAGGTGCAGTGGCCCATGCCTGTAATCCCACTGTAATCCTAGCACTTTGGGAGATCGAGGCAGGCAGATCACCTGAGGTCAGGAGTTCAAGACCAGTTTGGCTAACATGGTGAAACCCCATCTCTACTAAAAATACAAAAATTAGCCCGGTGTGGTGGTGGGCGCCTGTAATCCCAGCGACTCAGGAGGCTGAGGCAGGAGAATCAGTTGAAACCGGGACGTGGAGGTTGCAGTGAGCCGAGATTGTGCCATTGCAGTCCAGCCTGGGAGACAGGGGCGAGACTCCATCTCAAAAAAAAAAAAAAAAAGAAAAAGAAATTTGAGTGATGTAGCCACAAAGCGTCCTCAGAAAGTGGCTTTGGGGGTGACACCTGAGGGTGGGAAGAACATACACAGTTGTGGGGTTTGAGGAAGAAAGAGAGGGTGAGGGTGGCTATCTTCAGATAGGCACACAACTGGGCAGTAGGCAGTCCTCAGCTGGCCTGGGTGTAGTCTGAGTGACCACTGCACATTATTACACCTGTCTTACGCTCTGTCTGTAAAGCCAGAATATAGACAGTTCTCAATGGTCCAGGAAGGGAGAGATGCTGTAAAGGGTTGGCAAGGAGCATGGAGAAAAGAAGTATATGGTGACACTGCCTGCTCTGCCAGCTCAACAGGGGGGCAGAGCCAAGGTGCAAGAGTGTTCTGCCATGTACTTATGGGCCTCTGAGTGAGAACCCTAGTCTTACTCTCCTATATGCTCACCCTGGCTTGGCCAATCCTAGGAAGCCGCACTCTGCTGTCCTGAGTCTGCCTGAGCCTGGTTTCTAGTTGATCTCCCTTCCCCAACTGCTGTCCTGACACTTCCTGAAGCCTCAATTTCTCCATCTGGACAATGGGACTCCCTAGTGGTGTGGCACCTTGTGGAAAGGGGATGCTCCAAGGCCTGCTGCTGGTTTTCGGTAACACCTGCTGCTTGTGTGACTGCCTCATACTGGGGATGAAGGTCGTGGGCCCAGGAGGAGGAAAAGGGGTACTCTTACAATACCTCTTTGTTGTGCAGAGAGAAGAGCATGGACCTTGATGGGCCACTGAAACCCCAAGGCATGTTGCCAGGGTCTATTGGAGAGCCTGTTATGAGGGGCAGCTGATGATAGGGTGGCAGGAGATCCCGCTTACCCCAGATCCTGCTAGCTCTACAGTGACCTCTCTGAGCACCTCCCACCACTTCTCACTGTTACCTCCCTATTGCCTCAGGGTCCTTGCACTTGTTTCTGCTCAACTGCCTTCCCGAAAGTGTTTGAGGGCAGCCCCTAGGAGAGCCATTTCTACATTCTGTACCATATTATTATTTTTTTTTAAAGACGGGTTTTCACCATGTTGGTCAGGCTGGTCTTGAACTCCTGACCTCAGGTGATCCGCCCGCCTTGGCCTCCAGAGTGCCATATTATTATTTTTATTTTTTTATTTTTTTTTGAGGCAGAGTCCAGCTCTGTCACCAGCCTGCAGTTCGGTGGCATGATCTCGGCTCACTGCAACCTCTGCCTCCTGGGTTCAAGCATTCTCCTGCCTCAGCCTTCTGAGTAGCTGGGACTGTAGACTCTTGCCACCACGCCCAGCTAATTTTTATATTTTAGTAGAGATGGGGTTTCACTATGTTGGCCAGGATGGTCTCAATCTCTTGACCTCCTGATCCACCTGCCTCGGCCTCCTAAAGTGCTGGGATTATAGGCATGAGCCACCATGCCCGGCTATTTTATTTTTATCTTCTGGCCCTGGTATCGTTGTCTGCTCTAGAGGCCAGGGCAGGTGTGGGTTACTCTCCAGTGATTTGGGGGACCAGTAAAGTATAGGGCTGTGGAAAGTGCTCACCAAATATTCTTTTTTTTTTTTTTGAGACGGAGTTTCGCTCTTGTTGCCCAGGCTGGAGTGCAGTGGTGCCATCTCGGCTCACTGTAACCTCTGAATCCCAGGTTCAAGCGATTCTCCTGTCTCAGCCTCCCGAGAAGTTGGGATTACAGGCACATGCAACCAGGCCCCACTAATTTTCATATTTTTAGTAGAGACTGGGTTTCATCACATTGGTCAGGCTGGTCTCGAACTCCTGACCTCAGGTGATCCTCCTGCCTCGGCTTCCCAAAGTGCTGGAATTACAGGCGTGAGCCACCGTGCCCAGCCACCCCAATTATTCCTAAATGACGCCCACACTTTGCCCTGTGCATGCCAGCTTCAACTTTTTTTTTTTTTTTAAAGAGACAGGGTCTCGCTTTGCCGCCCCAGGCAGGAGTGCAGAGGCGCGATCATAGCTGACTGCAGTGAACCCCTGGGCTTCGATCTTCCTGCGTCAGCCTCTGCCACCAACTTTCCCCATTATCGGAGGAAGGAAGCGAGGGTCGGGGCTACGGCCTAGTCAGGGTGGTGGGCTGGAGGGGGCGGGCCGGCTTGCGAGGCGTGGCGCCAGAAGGGGCAGGCTGGGCGTGGAGGCGGTGACTATGCCGCGAGGGGGCGGGCCCGGATTTGGGGGGCAGCGCGCCAGGGCTGGAACAAAGGCAGGGGAGGGGACAAAGCCCCGCGGCCCCCAGTCCCCGTCAGGAACAAAGGCCACACCCGGCCCAGCGGCGGACGTGCCAGTGCTGCCGCCACGTGCGGGCACCTGGGAGCGGGGCCTGGGGAGGCTGTGACCCGTTACCCTCACGCCCCGCCCGGCTCGCCACCTTTACCTGTGTGCACCTCGGGAGTGACGAGTGGCGTTCACGGTGGTTCGCGCCAGTCCTCGCGGCCTCCAAACATCCTCCAGAAGCTGCCACCTACCTCCCACCCCGTCGTTGTCACCTGGCCCGGAGACTTCCGGACACCAGGGACCCTGCACTGGGGACTGACCGCCCCATCCCCTGGGACCAGCCTCAAGGTTTTCAACACGCTGATAGTCCCCAGGCGGGTTCGCCTCTACCTACAGACTCTGCCTCTCCCCTTAGACAGTATCCCTCCCCTCCAGATCCTGCGTCCCTCAGACGGTTCTCCCATAAACCCTCCTTCCCTGCTCAGACAGGATTCTCCCCACACAGACCCTGTTTCCCTCCTCAGACAGGGTTCTCCCCACACAGACCCTGCTTCCCTCAGACAGGATTCTCCCCACAAAGGCCTGCTTCCTTCTCTCCTTGGGACTCTCCACTGTTGAGGTTCAGTTTTCCCACCTGGAAAAGGGTGAAAGTCAGGGTAGCTGCTGACCAAAACATGCAGAGGGGACGCCTGTGGGGGGCGGGTGGGATTTCACACTCATTGTAGCTGCTGACCAAAACATGCAGAGGGGACGCCTGTGGGGGGCGGGTGGGATTTCACACTCATTGTAGCTGCTGACCAAAACATGCAGAGGGGACGCCTGTGGGGGGCGGGTGGGATTTCACACTCATTGTAGCTGCTGACCAAAACATGCAGAGGGGACGCCTGTGAGGGGCGGGTGGGATTTCACACTTATTGCTCTGTAGCCTCTTGTGATGTACCTTTTTTTTGGGGGGTGGGACCGGGCGTAGTGGCTTACACCTGTAATTTCAGCACTTTGGGAGGCCGAAGCGAGTGGATCACCTGAGGTCGTAAGTTCGACAGCAGCCTGGCCAACATGGTGAAACCCCGTCTCTACTAAAAATGCAAAAATTAGCCGGGCGTGGTAGTGAGCGCCTGTAATCCTAGCTATTCGGAAAGCTGAGGAAGGAGAATTGCTTGAACCCAGGAGGCGGAGGTTGCAGTGAGCCAAGATCGCGCCACTGCACTCCAGCCTGGGCGACAGAGCAAAACAAAAACGTTTTTCTCGATCTGTTGTCTAGGCTGGCGTGCAGTGGCACACTCCCAGCTCACTGCGCCTCGGCCTCCTGGGCCAAATGGAGCCTCCCGACTCGCCTCCCCAAGTGGTGGGATTACAGGGATGAGCCATGGCGCCCGGCCGTGATCTACATTTGATTTGCAAGTTTCTGTGTTTCTCATTATTATTATTTTTTCCTCACCTCCTCCCCACTCTCTGTGTTTCTCAAGTTTAACCATAACGTGGCTAAATTCCAAAAGTCAGCCTCTGCGCTCACAGGGGGGCTGCCCCCCTCCTAGCAGGATGGAGACTCTGCTCCCCTCTCCGCTGGGCGCAGCCCTTCCCTCGATCCTGGCCCCGCCCACTTCCCCATCGGCCCTGCCCCCTATCCCGAACTCTCAGCGACGCCGAGGCTGGAGAAGACTCTACGCGTGGCGCAGAGACGCTGGTTGAGGGGTTGATACGGACTGCCCATGCGCTTGGGCGCTCAACGGCCCGCCTCGGTGCGGTCGGGAGGTGGAGCTGAGAGGGCACTCACGCTCTATAAAGGTGCGCACGCCCCGCTGGCGGATTAAATTGCGGCAGTGACGTCACACATGCCGCTCCCCGCTACCATCCGAACCCCGCCGAAGGGGGGGTTGGCGGTGGTGGAGGGACCCGGAGTGGGCGCGTGCGTACTGGGGGCCTTTCCCTGTATCGACCGTCCTGGGCCCCGCCCCCGGGCGTGCGGCGCCCCATGCGCGTGCGCGGCGTCGTCGGCGCCAGTTATTTCTGTCCCGCCCCTCGGTCGCGGCTCTTTCTGCGAGCAGCGCGCGGGCGAGCGGTTGTGCTTGTGGCGCGTGGTGAGGATTTCGGCTGCCGCTGGGGAAGAAGCGCGGGCGGCGCCTTCGGAAGGCGAGCTAGCAGCAGCTGGCCGTGTCGCAGCAGCGTCCTGCGCGCGGTGGGCAGCAGCCCAGGAGGCGCGTGGCGGCGATCGGCCTCGCGGCGGCAGCGGCGGCGGCGGCCGCGGCGGCCCAGCAGTTGGCGGCGAGCGCGTCTGCGCCTGCGCGGCGGGCCCCGCGCCCCTCCTTCCCCCCCGGGCGCCCCCGGCGGCGTGTGAATGGCGGCCTCGGCGGCGGCGGCCTCGGCAGCAGCGGCCTCGGCCGCCTCTGGCAGCCCTGGCCCGGGCGAGGGCTCCGCTGGCGGCGAAAAGCGCAGCACCGCCTCTTCGGCCGCGGCCTCGGCGTCGGCCTCGGCCGCGGCGTCGTCGCCCGCGGGGGGCGGCGCCGAGGCGCTGGAGCTGCTGGAGCACTGCGGCGTGTGCAGAGAGCGCCTGCGACCCGAGAGGGAGCCCCGCCTGCTGCCTTGTTTGCACTCGGCCTGTAGTGCCTGCCTCGGCCCCGCGGCGCCCGCCTCCGCCAACAGTTCGGGGGACGGCGGGGCGGCGGGAGACGGCGCAGGTAAGTACGAAGGGGTCAGGGCTCCGACCACCCCTCCCCCACTCTCTGCCTTTCATTCCGACTGGGTGCAGGGATGAGGATGCCACCTGGGCAAGATGATGGGGGCTCGGACAGGGCACGGGGAGTACTTTGTGGGTTCTGCATAGGAACGTGGGTCTGGGTTGGCCGCTGAGACGGGACATTTGACTTAAGTTGGAGGAAAAAAGGCTCGGGGAGGGGAGGGGCTGGCTCGCTGTGGGATAATGGTCGGGGCCCCCCAGCAGGGGGATGTGGCGGGCCATAGCCTGGGTGGGAACTTGTAACAGCCTCCGTCATCCCTGCCTCCCCAAGTGGTGGACTGTCCCGTGTGCAAGCAACAGTGCTTCTCCAAAGATATCGTGGAGAATTATTTCATGCGTGATAGTGGCAGCAAGACTGCTACCGACGCCCAGGATGCGAATCAGGTGCGTCCTACCTTAGCATCCACAAGGAGTTCTTTGCTTATGGGGAGGGGACATGTGGCCAGGAGGAGCTTGGCACCAGCTCCAGGCTTTTACCTCCCCTTTCCCAAGGCTCTGGGTGGGCTGCCTAGGCTGGGTCCAGGGACTAATCTTGATTTCGGGTTGTATTTTCTGGAATGTAAATGTGGACCTATCAGATTGTGTTGCCTTCTCTTACCTTGTTTTTGTCTGGCAGTGCTGCACTAGCTGTGAGGATAATGCCCCAGCCACCAGCTACTGTGTGGAGTGCTCGGAGCCTCTGTGTGAGACCTGTGTAGAGGCACACCAGCGGGTGAAGTACACCAAGGACCACACTGTGCGCTCTACTGGTACATGAGGCTGAGGGGGTTATTGAAATTGCTCTCCAGTGTGCCCTCAGCTGCTTTGATAATGTTGGTTGCATCTGGTGGATGGGTTCTAGAGTTCTCTAGGGGGTGCCACCTGAAGGGCCTGAGGGCAGAACTCCAGAAGCAGGAAAACTGGGGTTGTGGTGTGTAGTCTTTGAGGTGTAGGTGGGAGAGAACAGGAATGGGAGACAGGGGAGACCTTACTGTGCTGCAGGGGGAGGGTTTAAGGATGCTTATCAGGAACTCGGTCCTGGTGGTGAAGGGCCTAACATGTGCAAACAGGGAAAGGCATGTTGTGAAGGGCTTACTGGGTTAGTGGTTCCCTGGCACACATCTGGTTTAAGATATTGCTAGGGAAAGTGAGGCTTTGTGGGTCTGTGGACTATAAGTGATGATGATTTTTGGCAGTGTTTTAGGTTTGATTTGGCAGCGACTTACTAAGAGCTTGGTTTGGCATTTCCAGCTTTTCGTAGACATACACTAGCTTTGGTTTGGAAAGGAACTTGAGAGTCTTTTGAGTCTAGCCCAGTTTTTGCCCCAGATTCCTTCCATGAGTGGCGTTTTGCTAGCCATACTGTGGTTCTTCCCATCCCAGAGGATAGCATTGGTGGAAGATGGTGGCTGTGGGGCCTGAGGAGCCAGGAGGGATAGGCAGGGGCTGCAGGGTGTCCTAGATTCCAGATGTTCCAGGCAAGGGACAGGGTGCAGGAGTGGGTGTCATTGGGGAAGCCTCTTTCCCCAGTGAGCTCTGGGGATGCTACCTATTTTGGATTTGGTTGGTATGTTGGGACCAGTGTGCCTGATCAGCTTTCTAATGGGGAAACAGCTTTTGGAGGTTACTAATGTGTTGGGCTTTGAGTGGGATTATTCTGAGCACCAAGATCCTGCTCGAGAGGGATGTGCGACCACCATTCTGAGGGTCCTGGTTTGACATTTCATTTCCCAGTATGAGAGGCTCTGCAAGGTTTTCTCTGGGCCCTTGGATTTTAAGAGACCCTGGTGTGGCCAGGCGTGGTGGCTCACGCCTGTAATCTCAGCACTTTGGGAGGCCGAGGTCAAGAGATCGAGACCATCCTGGCCAACATGGTGAAACCCCATCTCTACTAAAAAATGCAAAAATTTGCCGGGCATGGCGGCGTGCGCCTGTAGTCCCAGCTACTTGGGAGGCTGAGGCAGGAGAATTGCTTGAACCCAGGAGGCAGCGGTTGCATTGAGCCGAGATTGCACCACTGCGCTACAGCCTGGTGCCTGGTGACAGAGCAAGACTATGTCTCCAAAAAAAAAAAAAGACACACCCTGGTGTTCTTTTGTCAAGGAAGAGCGAGGAGGTTAACCATGAAAGGAGAAGAAAAAAAGTCCAGGGTGGTTTATAGGCAGAATTCTGAGTATGTCTACTTGGGAGAAGTTTTTAGTAAAGGGCGGAACAGTGTGAGGAAGGTGGGGCCAGCCCTCTTTTTCCAGAGGTTGTTACCCTTAACCCTAACATTGTTGTCACCTTCAGAAACTAGAAGAAAGGGATGTATTTCTCAGCTATGTTGGGGCAGAGAATTCTGGGAGCAAGGAGTTGGGCTTGCAGGCCTGTGTTCTTCCCTGGCCACACCCTCTACATCTTCCCAGTAGATGGCCCAGTGTCACAGAACAGGCAGGAAATGAGTCCCAAGCTCAGTCTGCTTCCTGAGTTGGGGGTGGTGAAGGGCAAGGTCCAGCCTTACAATTCTCACTCCCCAGGGCCAGCTAAGTCTCGGGATGGTGAACGTACCGTCTATTGCAACGTACACAAGCATGAACCCCTTGTGCTGTTTTGTGAGAGCTGTGATACTCTCACTTGCCGAGACTGCCAGCTCAATGCCCACAAGGACCACCAGTGAGTCCCAAGGCATAGAGGGTAGGTGGGTGCCACCCATTCTCTAGTTCAGTGTTCAGGAACACATCTGTCTGCTCTCAGGTACCAGTTCTTAGAGGATGCAGTGAGGAACCAGCGTAAGCTCCTGGCCTCACTGGTGAAGCGCCTTGGGGACAAACATGCAACATTGCAGAAGAGCACCAAGGAGGTTCGCAGCTCGTAAGTGTGGGTTCTGGGGCTGTGGGAATGGCCCAGGGCAGCAAGACTTTTCCTAGCCTGACCTGCTCTGTTCCCTAGGATCCGCCAGGTGTCTGATGTACAGAAGCGTGTGCAAGTGGATGTCAAGATGGCTATCCTTCAGATCATGAAGGAGCTGAATAAGCGGGGCCGTGTGCTGGTCAATGATGCCCAGGTAAGCCTTGTGTCAGTGAGAGGGTCCCTGAGCCCTTTCTGCTGACGCATAATGCTGTCCAGGATGAGGAGCCCTCTTAGTGCTGTCTGCCTTCTCTGCTTACCTCATACACCTTTCCATCTGCAGAAAGTGACTGAGGGGCAGCAGGAGCGCCTGGAACGGCAGCACTGGACCATGACCAAGATCCAGAAGCACCAGGAGCACATCTTGCGCTTTGCTTCTTGGGCTCTGGAGAGTGACAACAACACAGCCCTTCTGCTTTCGAAGAAGTTGGTATGTACTGGTGGGCTCCTGGCCGGTGGGTTCGCGGCAGGAGGCTCCCAACACCTCACATCCCTGTTTGTTGTTGGTGTGCTCATTATTCCGTGTCTTTTATTCCCAACCAGATCTACTTTCAACTGCACCGGGCCCTCAAGATGATTGTGGATCCTGTGGAGCCACATGGCGAGATGAAGTTTCAGTGGGACCTCAATGCCTGGACCAAGAGTGCAGAGGCCTTTGGTGGGTCCCAGCTCTACCTTGCTCTACCTTGTTAATACCCCACGTGGTGCACCTACTTATATTTCTCTGTTTGTGCAGGCAAGATTGTGGCAGAGCGTCCTGGCACTAACTCGACAGGCCCTGCACCCATGGCCCCTCCAAGAGCCCCAGGGCCACTGAGCAAGCAGGGCTCTGGCAGCAGCCAGGTGAACAGGAGAGAGGACCCAGGGAGGGCTGGGCAGGGAATGGGGTTCAGTAGGGTAGTGGGGTTCCTGTTCCACTGAGGCAGAGGGCTCTGCTTTGTTCACAGCCTATGGAGGTGCAGGAAGGCTATGGTTTTGGGTCAGGTGAGTGGGTCTGCCTGGTGGTTGGGGAAGGGCCTCAGTGCTGTTTCTACCCCAACCTGCCAGTCTTTCTCCATTTTTCTAAGCAGATGATCCCTACTCAAGTGCAGAGCCCCATGTATCAGGTGTGAAACGGTGAGCATGGCAGTTCCCCTGGGGTGGAGAAAGGATGGGTGGAGGTAGATGGAGGGTGAGGGTGTGCTTATGTCAGGTTTCTGTACCTATAGGTCCCGCTCAGGTGAGGGCGAGGTGAGCGGCCTTATGCGCAAGGTCCCACGAGTGAGCCTTGAACGCTTGGACCTGGACCTCACTGCTGACAGCCAGCCACCCGTCTTCAAGGTCTTCCCAGGCAGTACCACTGAGGACTACAACCTTATTGTTATTGAACGTGGCGCTGCTGCTGCAGCTGCTGGCCAGCCAGGGACTGTGCCTGCAGGAACCCCTGGTGCCCCACCCCTGGCTGGCATGGCCATTGTCAAGGTATGCCTGTCTCAAAGAACTATACCTGTGGAATGAAGCCTGTAGTCCAGGTTTGGACGCTATTGAACACCCCTCATCACCACTTTGCAGGAGGAGGAAACAGAGGCTGCCATTGGAGCCCCTCCTGCTGCCACTGAGGGCCCTGAGACCAAACCTGTGCTTATGGCTCTTGCGGAGGGTCCTGGTACTGAGGGTCCTCGCCTGGCCTCACCCAGTGGCAGCACCAGCTCAGGGCTGGAGGTGGTGGCTCCTGAAGGTACCTCAGCTCCAGGTGGTGGTCCGGGAACCCTGGATGACAGTGCCACCATTTGCCGTGTCTGCCAGAAGCCAGGTGATCTGGTCATGTGCAACCAGTGTGAGTTTTGTTTCCACCTGGACTGCCACCTGCCTGCCCTGCAGGATGTTCCAGGGTAAGTGTGAGGCTGGCTGGGCTCTAGTCTGGTGTGGGCTCTCTGGACAGGATCATGCGCATACCCTTATCTTAACCCTAGGGAGGAGTGGAGTTGCTCACTCTGCCATGTGCTCCCTGATCTGAAGGAGGAGGATGGCAGCCTCAGCCTGGATGGTGCAGACAGCACTGGCGTGGTGGCCAAGCTCTCGCCAGTCAACCAGCGGGTGAGGGCTGGGGTTATGTAGGTGGGGTTGCCCAGAAAGGCTTTATAGGTGCTGCCCAGAGCTGTGACATCCCTTATACTATCTGTAGAAATGTGAGCGTGTGCTGTTGGCCCTGTTCTGTCATGAGCCCTGCCGCCCCCTGCATCAGCTGGCTACTGACTCCACCTTCTCCCTGGTGAGTCCTAGAAATGGAGAGGGGAAGGGGGTGGTGCCTGGCAGGTCTCATCCTCAACTTGTGCATGTATGTGTGGTCTCTGCCTGCAGGACCAGCCTGGTGGCACCCTGGATCTGACCCTGATCCGTGCCCGTCTCCAGGAGAAGTTGTCACCTCCCTACAGCTCCCCACAGGAGTTTGCCCAGGATGTGGGCCGAATGTTCAAGCAATTCAACAAGTTAACTGAGGTGAGCCAGTGGAATGGAGGGGCTGTGGGCAGGGGGCGTTGTGAAGGAGAGAACTAGGACCCATTCATCCAGTATATTCCTGCTTGGCCTAGGACAAGGCAGACGTGCAGTCCATCATCGGCCTGCAGCGCTTCTTCGAGACGCGCATGAACGAGGCCTTCGGCGACACCAAGTTCTCTGCTGTGCTGGTGGAGCCCCCTCCGATGAGCCTGCCTGGTGCTGGCCTGAGTGCCCAGGAGCTGTCTGGTGGCCCTGGTGATGGTCCCTGAGGCTGCAGCCCCCATTGCCAGCCCAGCTTGGCTGTATTCTCTGTCCTGTCACCCCATCCCCGCTCCCCTGGTGGCCTGACTCCCACTCCTTGGTGGCCCCATCCCCCAGTTCCTCACGATATGGTTTTTACTTCTGTGGATTTAATAAAAACTTCACCAGTTCCTCAGGCCTTGGCTGGTTGGGGGGCTGTGGTCCTGGGGCCTGGTTTATTGACTGTGTCTACTAATCAGCTTTATCAAGCACTGGTGGCCCTGGTGGGGGTGGTCTTGTCCCCAGCCTACCTGAACCCCCATCTGTATGGATGCCTAGGGTGTGGGGAAGAGTGTGCCTCCTGGCCCTTTCTGGCTGTGGGGAGGGTCACACACAGCAAAGGTGGTACACACTAGAGGTTTGTGGGGTACTCTGGGATAACGGCTAGGTGTGGGCCAACCTGCAGCCCTGTGTAGACTTGGCCCCCGGTGTGGCACAGCCGCTCTACTGAGTGGTTGCTAAGCTTTGGTGCTATAGCTGTTTGTCATCCTTGGATGGTACCATAGTGAACTGACACCTTCCAGATGCGGTTTTGTTCCTGTTCCTCTTTGCTAAGGCCACTTAACGTCATTCATCCCTGATTTAGCTATAGTTGAGCCCTGTGAATCCCAAGGCTGCCCCCTTGCTTCTATTGGTTGGTTTGGACTGTCCTCACATCACTGAACCAAAATAGTTCTGGGCACTACAGCCTGGAAGATGGGACGCCTGGACTCTAGAGATACTCTCAGGCTGTTTGGGGTGTCCACTATCTTGGGAGAAGTGACAGCAGGACCCACAGCTCACCTTAAGCTCTGAACCCCTGAAAATCTCAGGTGGACTTTGCTTGTCCACCCCTGCCCCAAACCCCAACCCCTTAGCCTTGTGCCAAATGCCTCTTGCTTTAGTGATACCTGTCCTCCCAGGGACCCCAGCCAAAAGTCACATGGGCTTAGAGACTAGTGTCCTGTATCCTTTATTACAGAGGAGTTATGGTAAAAGATCTGGGCATCCACTGGTCATCCAGGGAGTGGCAGGGGGAATTCAGTCTCTCCTCAGGTTCTTAAGCCGCTCCTCCAGGTCTGCATCAGCATCAGCTAGGGCTGAGGCTGTGGCCTCTGCTTTTTTCCCACCAGCAGCCACACTGAGGGAGCCCCCAGTTGAGGGAAGGTCTGCAGAGAAAGCCGGGGTTAGAGCAGGGGGATTCAGGCTGAGTGGGAAATGCAGTGGAGGGGAGTAATGCAGGGAGAGGGAAGGCTTGGGGCTGTGGCTGGGCACTGGGTGGGAAATGGGGCCCAGGATTTGGAGCACTCACTTGACAGCTCATCTGTCAGGCTAAGTCCCAGCTCATCCAGGACCTGGGACACAACAGCATCACTAGGGAAGAGATAGATAGAACTCAATGAGGGCTAAGCATTATTCCATGAGAGCCAGACAAACATCTTTGCCCTCCCAGTTTTTCTCCATACCTCTCCTCTTCGTCTTCCTCATCACCCATGGCATCATCAATGGCATCATTCATCATCTCCTCCTTCATATCCATGATCTCTGCCTGCCGCTCAAACTCCATCATGATCTTCTGGATCTGGGGCAATTTCAGCTGGAAGTGGGAGGAGTGTGAGTGTGGTCTGTATGGGTCAGAGGGAGTGGGAAGGGGGACTGGGAAAAGCGCACCTGTCTGTTCATGGTGCCCATGGCCTTGGTGACACCCTTCATGGCTTGTGCCATTGAGTTGTTGGACTTGAGTGTCTGGATCTTGAGGGACACAGCCTGAATGTTGGCCCGCATCAATACAAACTTGCGCACATAGCGCCGGGTGCGCACCAAGTCTTTTGCCATGATGCGAACGGCATCCTGCAGAGCAGACAAGGTTATCAAGGACACAGGAATGGGATTATATTATACTTCTTGACACTCCATTAGTTGGAGTTGCAACTAATGCAAATGGTTGCTCCCCCCCATTTGCAATTCCACCATTCTCATTGAAGTCTCCAGACTGGCTAACCCAATGGTTACTGGTCCCGCCCTCCTGACCTAACTCTGCCTCTTGGGTCACCAACTCCCTGGGCTCCTTTGTAAGGTCCTCCTCACTTATCTTGATCTGTAAATGGTAAAAGAAAGGCCCCAGGCTCACTCCTTAGGGGTCCTTTTGCTTCCATGATTTCAGTCATTCTTTTGACTTATAACAGCCATTCCTCAATTTTTATTCCCAGCCTAGACAAATAATCTGCTGCTTCCTCCACCTAATACAAACCCATACCTCAAACTATCCAGAACCACATACAAACCAATCTGAGGCTCAGCTTTGATTTTCTCTCCAAACATTGCTTGCCCATCCCAGTAAATAGTATTTTCTCTGCCTGTTCAGGCCAAACTCCTCACCCATCAAAGACTGTTCCTTCATGCTCTCCCTACTGGTTCTGGCTCTTACCAGCCTCTTGGCCATAGCTTATCCTTTTTTTTTCTGAGATGGAGTCTTGCTCTGTCACCTAGGCTGGAGTGCAGTGGCACAATGTTGGCTCACTGTGACCTCTGCCTCCCAGGATCAAGCAATTCTGCCTCAGCCTCTCGAGTAGCTGGGATTATAGGCATGTACTACCATGCCTGGCTAATTTTTGGTAGAGCAGGGTATCACCATGTTGGCAAGCTAGTCTCGAACTCCTGACCTCAGATGATCCACCTACTTCAGCCTCCCAAAATGCTGGGATTACATGTGTGAGCCACCGCGTCCAGCTAGATTATCGTTATAGTTACCTTTTTTTTTAAATTGAGACAGAGTCTTGCTCTGTCACCCAGGCTAGAGTGCAGTGGTGCAATATTGGCTCACTGTAACCTCCGCCTCCCAGGCTCAAGCAATTATCCTGCCTCAGCCTTTCAAGGAGCTGAGATTACAGGCATGAGCCACCACGCCCGTCTAATTTTTGTATTTTCAGTAGAGACGGGTTTCACCATGCTGGCCAGGTCGTTCTCAAACTTCTGATGTCAGGTGATCAGCCCACTTCAGCCTCCCAAAGTGCTGGGATTACAGGTGTGAGCCACCTCACCCACAACCTTAATCCCTAACCTTTCAACTCAGCTCCCACTGTGGCCCACAATTCTGAATTGTCTGGCCCATGCCCAACTCTGAAGCTCACCTGTCAACTCCCATTTTGCCGAGGCTCTGTTTCTGCATTTGCTGTCTGTCTGCTTGACACATTCCTTTCCCAGATCTGTAGGCTCACTCTCATCACTCAAGCCTTAGTTCTTATACCAATTCCTTGTAGGCAGCCTTCCAGACCTCCAAACTAGGGTAGCCCTGCTGACCTTGCACTGCACTCGTTTTGCTGAAAGCACCTGTTTGGGTGTCTGGTCTGTTTTGTTCACTGCTGTTACAGACGTGCCTGACTGACAGCAACTTGCCCCTGACCACCCACACTCACCATCTGGCCCTGCTTGGCCATCTTCTTAATGTCTGCAATGATTTTCTTCTCCTGGGTCTCTAGCTTCTGTCGCTCGCGGTCCAGCTCCCGCATGGCACGGTTCAGGGCCCTCTGGTTCTGCCGCAGTAACTCCTCTGGTGTCTTCCGGCGCCCGAACAACAGGTCCATGGTGGCAGGAGCCCACTGGCAGGCCTGAGACAGATGTGAGGCCCAGCTGTAGGGCAAGGGGCCCGGAAGGAGGGCAAATAGCAGAAGAGGGTCACGGGAACTTTGCCAAACGGGAAGGGGCTAATGGAGACTGGAGGCATGAATAAGGGGCCAAAAGGGAGCAGTTGAGAACACTGGGACTGTCCCGGGGCACATAAAAGGTGACAGGTAGAGCTGAAAATTACCCATCATGTACTGACCCAAGACCCTCCTCCATCGCCATGCTCCCACAGAAGTTAAGGCTTGCAAGTTCAGCTTCCCTCTCTAGCCCCATGGGTGAGGCCCTGGAGTCCTTGATAGACTGAGAGCGGAGGGCGACGCCAGTTGGCGCACTGGTGTTTTTGGGACCCTGAGCACCGAGGACAGGGCAATTGCGGGGGTCCTGATAGAGGACAGGCTAGGCGGAGACCCTAAGTACCAAGAACAGGTGAATGTGGGTCTGTGAAGCTTTGGACAAGGCATAAGGACGTGAATGACCCTGAATGTTGAGGGAGACGGTTGGGGGCGCTGGGGCATCCAGCGCACCGAGGGTGGGATGATGGAGGCTAGGTTGCAGTATACACCGAGGACGGAGAGTGAGTGGGCCCGGCACCGAGGCAAGGCGGTGTTAGAGACCTCGAGGATGAAGACAGGGTCCCAGGGAGAAGAGAGGCACCAGACACCCGGGCGAGTAGAAGGCCTCGTACGCTGCCGCCCGCACGCCCGCCTGGGATTCACGGTCCAGCAGGGGCCACTCACCGGAGTTGGGACCGGGACCCGCTTCCGCTTCCGGGTCACGCTTCTTTTTCTCGGATACCCCGCTTACCCCTTAACTAAGGCCCCTCGGTTCTGTCGCCTCCGCCGCCGTTTCCGGATTAAACGACGTGACGTAACACGCCTCGCCCGCACCCGGAAGGCTGGGAGGCTTCCAGAGCGCGCGTGCGCACTCGCCCTGGATGGGGGCCGGTGTCCTAGCGCATGCGCAACAGCTTCCGTTTCCTCCGCGCGTCGGAAGGTGTTTCAAGTTCGACTCCCGCCCGAGTGACCCAAGCCTGTACCAGGGTGGGCACTCAAGCGAAGGTGGTGCACCTTTGGGCGATTTCCACCCAGTCTCCACCTGAGGACCCAGCTTATCCGTAAGACCCTGACTTCTGCCTGAGGTTTTAGATAGAAGGAGGCTTTTCCTCCTCGGTGGGCCCACCCATACAAGAAAGAGGCAAAGCTACAGATGGCTTGTCCCTTCCACTGTGCTGGCCTCTTGGCTAGGAAGCCAGAGATCACTGGATCCTGACTACGCTTCTCATCCTAGAGTGGGCTTCATCCCAACCAACCCGAGGCTCAGGCCTGGTATCCCCACCAACTCCAGAGCTACGCCAGGCACTGGGCAGTCGGTTGTAGGGTGCTCCAATGCCACCTGTTACCACACGTTCCACCACCCCAGCTTTGCAGGCCCCAGTGGACCCAACTGCCCCTCCCACCCCACAGAAGTAAGAAGCAGAGGCCATGCAGTAATATTCCCCTTTAATAGCCTGGTGGGACCTCCAGAGGTGGAAGG